GATGAATGAATTCAGCAGTGAAGAATTTACTTGTACCTTGAGTCCCCATCTGGTTGTCATATCTTTTAATCGATATTATTCATTCCGTCATTTTTACTTAGTTGTATCTCCTTTTCTTCGGTTTTTACCTTTTCTGTTCCAGGTATCCGGATAACTATGATGAAGACAATTGAGCCCGTGGCAACTCGCCACAAGTAATCTCCATTACTGACCTAGCGTAAGTCTAGACAACGGGATAAACCAAGATGCAAAATCACCTGAATAACAGGAAGCCAAAGGAAACACAGTAAATAAGATGACCAGGAGTGCTTGAATTCAACCAGACGTAGTTGCCAAAATAAACTATAGTGCAAACCATGTTGAACCGTATTTCGCTGCACCATGACGGTGACGTTGTGCCTTAAGTGAACAGGATACTCTAAACTTCACTGCCCATTTTCTGCAGTATGTACGGTTGCTCAAATTCAATCAAATAGTTTGCAGTACCGTAATAGTATTCCGTCTATATCGTTCCGTAAAACAAAACTATCATGAGATGTCACGCCATGTACACGCTTCCCATTAGCTTGGTATCCAAGCTATTATGCATCCAAGGTGCAGCCCCCACCTTGCTCCTACCAGGTACGACCATTTTCACGCTCTTCACAATCACATCAAGGGCAAGAAATTCGCTGGCCGCGACAACCACGGAAAGTACTTTATCTAATATTTGGTGAGAAGCATCAACATAGTGTCTGAACTTGGCAGTAAATCGTCAACAACAATGGAGGTTAAACTAACTAAGGATTATCGTTTGTTTAAAATAAATAATCAGTAAAATGTGTGCTTAAACTTTTAATGGATTTTGGAACAAATCAATATGTTTTATAGTGCGGATCCTATTCCCATAGGTCACACATGGAATATGCAGCGTTGGTGACTCCTGAAAGCTTGAAGTGACCGTCCTGATTTGTTCCAGATACACCCTGGCTTTCAGGCTGTGTTGTTCAGTGGTGAATTTTCTTCGAAAATCTAGCCCTCCTCCAATACTCCGTGACTTTGTAAGCCACTGGCATCATCACTATGCAGGCATACTTTGATGACTCGTCATCAGATTAACCATGGCTCGGCGTTTCAGATAATATCACGTCATCCTACATCACGCTTCACGCGGTTCGCCGAGGCAGTGGCGATAAAGCAGCTAAGACTGCACGGTGTGTGTAAATACAATTGTTTGTCAGCCTTTCGTTGTCGTGGTCCTAAGTCCATCACCGCTAGTCACTTTACCACACGTGATTGGCTTCCTAACCTACTGTGAACTTTAAATAAATCAGTCCTTTATGTTGCATCCGCAATGACGAGACAAAACGAGATACGCGCATCTATCGAGCTGCTCTTAATTACATGACTCGCCGGAAAATGCATATTCACGCGTTACTTTCATGGCATTACTGATGCAAAACGACGCCATATTGTGTTCCACTTACGTAAATGATTGCAGCCAACTCTTTGGAGTCATCCTGTGCATCCTCATCCTCGGTCAATTCACAACTGCTCCCGGTAGATCGAAGGCTGGCACGCGAACGCAGCCCAGAGGACGGTACATCATGACGTCTGTTAGCTCGCTTACCACCCCCATAGAGGACAAACTGAGTGCCCACGAAATTGGATCGGAGCTTGCCGGCGAAACTGGCGGCGCTTCGTGATAAATCAGTGGCATCACAAGAGATGATGTAATTGCTCGTAGCGGATCGTTTGCGGCGGCGGGCAGCGAGCAGGAAGTATTTACGATCCTCCTGTTCCATATGCACATAGTAGGTAGGAAAAATCCCCCGGTCCACTCCACGTTTGTCTCGAGTGATACGGCAACGAACGGTGGTACCCTGTTCGAACAGATTGAAGGGGATACAAAAGTAGTTCATGAGTTGCACACACACAGGATCAACACTCCAATGTGTTGAAACAATTTAGTAATTTCCACGTAACTAGCAAAAGCACATGACTCAGTGATCACAAATAAATACAGTGTGGTTTCTCCTCTAAGGCCAGCTCATTATTTAATCATATCATTTAAAGAAAGAAAGAAACGCTTTATTCCTCGACGGTGTGAGGCACAATGCAAGTGCGTGGACTGATCAAGTTGTACATCGAGATCGCATCACAGAGTTGCTTGTCCATGATTGTACAACCGGTCCCAAATGGATTTCTGCAGTGAAAGGCAGTTTGATAGCATTAGAGGGAACAAGAAACTTGGAACAATAACGAATGCAGATTAAGCCAAAAGTTCATGTAAAGTAAAATGGCCACCCATGGAATTGTCCCCAGGCGACCAGCTTCCATGCGGGTTATTCCCTCGATGGGTTTCACCCGCACTTCAGTGCCCCAACGGGCTGTGTGCCGGTGTGGCAAAATAGCATGTAAGCCGTCACTTGTCTCATAAATTTCCTTTTCATTAGGGTTATTTTATGCATGCATTATGGGCAATGAATCCCCAGGCAGATTCGTCTTGTGGATCATTCGTGTATGACAACTATATGTTATTTGCCAGCGGGTTAGTAGCAGTATGCTTTGCCTGGATATAAATTTTTTATCACGGAAACTGTAATCCGTCACCTCAACAGTTCAGCCCACGCGTGGTCAACAGCAAGAATATAAGGTATGGGGAATCGAAGGCATACTATTATTTACAATCTTTTGCTAATAGGCCAAGCACAGTTTGATGGAAAATCATTGCGAACAACGACGACCGTGCGGAGATTTCAGCTTGAAAGAGATAGTTCATGTCCGACATAGTATACCAAAGCAGAAGAAAACGGTACGTGTTAGACGGAAGCGTAGGATTGGTAGGAATAAGATAGATTGTAATTACGTACTAAGGAGTTCATCCAGGTGAAGATACAATTATACTATTGAGACAATTAGGGGACATTGCAACTATTAAGTGTATCCAGGACCTTTCTCATACAAATCATCCACAATCATCTTTTGGCTGTTGACATTTTATTAGAAACGGTCAGGTGAATAATTGCCACTGGTCACCTCATTTCCACTTGGCGACGAGTCATGATTAACAGTGTCCCAGACTGGTTGATTAGAATGTATGTTATACTACCTAGTACGTCAGCGGCATCCGCTTTTTCAATTGCATCTCAGAGACACCACCAGCTTTCACTAACCTGACTTGGTTAGTTGTTGACTGGTTTGGAGCAGGTGGCTGACACTTATGTGTCGACACACTTGCGATTAGCCCACATCATGTCTAGCCAATCCTGAAATGCTGTATGAAGGAGAACCATATTCCAGCAATATAGAATGGATGGGTCATCACTCCTATTCAGAAAGCGGTAGTCCCACTGAGCAACATGTCTTCCGACAAAATCGCTCATGCACTACGAACCTGCTAATTGCACGCAATAGCTGGACTGAATCAGTTGATGGTGGAGCAGGAGTCAATGCACTATACCCAGACTTCTCAGAAGCATTTCATCGATTAGACCACCGAATTCTCCTTCATAAACTTCAGCTTTATGGCATTGGTGACCTACTGTTGCGTCGGATAGGCAATTTCCTGCACGAACGTCGGCTGGAAGTGAGAGTACGAGAATCCCTATCCGACGCAATTGAGGTGGAGTGCGGCGTGCCACAAGGCTCGGTGCTAGGGCCCCATATAATCTTGATTTTCATAAACCATCTTACGTGAACAATTACTCCTGATTTCCTATTCTTCGCGGATGATATCAAGTTATGGCGAGCCATCAAACAATTGAATGATCAGGAAATGCTCCAGCGTGACCTCAACACGATTTCAAACTGGTCAGTTCTGAATACACTACCGTCCAATGTGGAAAAAGGTCACTCGTCAAAGGCATGACTAAGTGTATAGGATTGGGTCACATGTATAGCAAACAATTTCCCAAGCACGCGACCTTGGTGGACTCATTCAACGTGACCTTAGCTGTTCCAAGCAGTCAGAGAAGGCTGCGGAGAGCGAACCAGTATGTAGGCTTGCTTCGGAGAGCGTTCCGAAGATTCGACCTATCCATTTTCCCATAATGCGCAATTCTTACATGCGCCCTCACGTTGAATACGCCATCCAAGCTTGGCAACCCTGGTTGAAGCGCGATTCAGAAATGCTAGAGGAACCACAAGGCAGAGCAACGAAGAACGTCAATGGCCTACGAAACCTGTCTTACCATCAAAGTCTGAAGTCACTGGGAATTTTCAGTGGCCGTTACCGAAGCCTGCGCGGCGATCTCATATTAGTCTACCAAACATTAAGTGACACTAAGCACGTGTGCGGTCACTTGCTGAAATTCAGCAATAACACCAATCTCAGAGGTAACCCTCTGAAATTATGTGCACAGTGTGGCTGCCTGGAATGCCGGTGGAATTATCTATCTTTTCGAGTTTGTCAACCCTAGAACTCTCTCCCAAACTTCGTCCTTTTCTCCCCACTTTGGATGTTTTCAAAAAGCAATTGGATCTTGCACTTGGCTCCGTCACTTCTTCGCCTAAACTGTGCAAACTTGGAATACATTAATTATCCCTCCAAACCAGATTAACATGTTACGTAGACCTGAAGGGGCGGTACAGCAGTGAGAATTCTCGGTTTTACGTTTCTCTCGGAGTACAACAACCATACCTGTCCTCATTTTGCCTCTTCGTTCGCATTCAATTCCCATCTACACTGCAGCAGGGCATCTGCTAGATAAACGCTCAAACAGAAACTCACCTATCTTTTGATAATTGTAGCTTTACCCCCACCATCCTGCGGGACTTGTGATGCAACTGCTTTTTTATCCGGCATAAATCATTGTTCAATGTAAACGCAAGTCGCTTATTGCCTCAGCATAAAAGCCAAAGTTGCTTTGTAGGTTAGCAGTTTGCCAGTTCCACACGGCCCTCGCTCCACTAGTTAACGCAAGCAAACAATCAGTACTTTATCCGTGGTGCAATAAAGAAATAAATAGCATATCTTCGACATGGCGAGGCATGCGTGATTAGGCATAATCAGAGCAACACCAAGACGACTGAATGGCAAGTGTACAATAATGAGGCAAGGTTAACAATAACATGTTGGATCTGTGGCACATATTTGTGTGTTTGTCGGTATGAATGTTCGCAGCGGTGTTTCTTGCATTTGGAGACGTGACGCCGTAGTTGCGCTTGTGCTCTGTCGGGCCGTCTGCTTGAGAAGGACTGGAAGGGAAACTTAGTACTGGATGACTGACGTCCGTGGAGCGTGTATGGCAGTGACTAGCTATAGTGGACAGTCACATCCGCCACGTGGGCGTGTTGTCGTTGTTTATAGTGAGAACGCTTGCTAGGCGGAAACCCACCAACTCCTGAAAACCTGCCGCCGAACAATCGTTGGAACAATATTAAACCGAACCATCCAAATGACACCACGTCTCTTGACACCCATTCGTTAGCGCGCTTTAACAGCACCATTGGCAAATGCTTGGGCACGACAGGCGCCAAACTGAATTCCATCCTTCTCCGATTCGCTCGAAACCAGTCGAGAAATTTCCTCTGCATTTTGTTGTTCGTCTCAACGAGACCGAGAAACGACTCTCCTACAGTCACTTCATCCATCAGTATTTTTGGAGATACATCGGGAGTGCTATCGAAAATTTAGCAAACAAATGTACTTGCTTGATCTGGTCTATGATTTTTCTTTCTCACTTGCTTTAACCAAATGCTCACTAATTAATTTTGGACATGTGGCGACCAAGAAAGATTGTTGAATTTTCTTCCAAGCTGAACTGTCACCAAATGTTTTCGAAGAACAGGCACATGATTAGCCAATAAAGGCAACATTTGAAAAAATTCCCTAGGTTTTATGCCTCTTCGATTTTCCTGGATGTCATCTCGATGACCACACAGTGTCATGCTTCGTTTGATGAGAAATCTGACGAAATCAAGTATACTGACTAGAATTTCATGCCATCACTTTTCTACAACTACTTGCTCCATTTTGTTAAGTGCCTTTCCTTCAACTAACCAGATCGCTAGCTCCTTGCGGTTTAGGAATAACTGAGCAAGCGAGTTACTAGACTTGTGTTCACATGCTTTGGATTTAGTTTCCACCAGTCGAAAAACTAAAGTATCCCGTGGACGACATCCTGTAGCCGAGACCAAACAACAGCAAATACGAAGGAAAATACATCATGGATGTTCGCAATCTTCCCTCGCTTCTTAGCCTCAGCTTTGCATTCGTTCCAGGTAGCACCATTTATTAAATTCATGATCGACTTGCTGCAAGACAGTAGATCAGAGCCGGACGAGGATGGTGAGAATTTCCTGGACAATTTTAACAACGCACTGGCACACACCCATATAATAGGTTGATGTGTCTGTGCAAAAGTGTGATTACATTTCTAATTCCACAAGTTAACGCGGTTCTTCTGTATCGGCATTACAAAAGTTGCCCACTGCGTCTGTGCTGTCAATTTCGTTTTATGTTACCCGAATATCAACGTTTGTATAGCAGTATGACTATCATCCTTCGTTTTTACCACCAGTCATGGTATTAAACAATCATCCGTAATAAAAATGCTGCACCCTGTCACATTCCGCCCGGGGCGGACCGCTCCGGCTCCCTATGCTATGCGTCTGCCGGTGTGGAGGATAGGATCAAGAGCGGAGTTACTAATGACTCCTGTGTCACTTTGACACAATCAATGTGGGCATTGCTCACTCACACGTTTCAACAAGTGTCGCGTAATTCGACCGATATATAATGCGCCAAAAGCGCACTCGAAAGAATATATGACTGGGGCGGTTAGCATCGGCAATTTGTCCTTGTTCCGTCAACAAGCAAGTGGGTTCCGTCGGAAATGTTCGTTTTAGCGCACTTGCTGCAAAGATCGAACTAACCGTA